AAAAAAAAAATTCAGGGGTGCCTGGGTGGCTCAGTCGTTAAGGGTCTGCCTTTGGCTCAGGTCATGATCCCAGAGTCCTGGGATCGAGCCCCACATCGGGCTCCCTGCACAGCGGGGAGTCTGCTTCTCCCTCTCCCACTCCCACTGCTTGTGTTCCCTCTCTCGCTTTGTTGCTCTCTGTCAGATAAATAAATAAAATCTTAAAAAAAAGAAAAAATTCAGCTTAAACACCATCTTATTCCCAAAAGCCGACTTGATTCCCTCCTTGACTATTCTCCTTCTCCCCACTAATGTGGGGTAGATGCTCTCCCGTGGGGCCCTTGTGCATTCCTCCATTGCAGTGTTAATTACACTGTATTATAACCCTATATATATAGGTCTGTCTCCCTTACTGGATAACAAACATTTTTCTAAGTTTTTATTTTAATTCCAGTTAGTTAACGTACAGTGTTATATTCGTTTCATGGATTACAAACTTTTGAGGAAGAAAGAAAGATAGTGTTTGCCTTAGAATCAGCAGTGGCTACTCTTGAACCTAACACCTTGAACACTCAATAAATTTTGTTCATTGAATTAATTTTACATTTTCATAGTAATCTGATTTTTTCCAGGCAACATATTTCCATTTCAACTATTTTATACTATTCCCTAACAAATTCTAGAAATTGTATAATATTTTCTCAACTAAGGTAATATATTAAAATTTTACTATTACATCTATTTTAGAATCTGCTATCCCAAAAAAACACCTGATCATAATTTAGAAAGCATGAAAAATTCACTTCAGTCTTAAAGCATTAAGAGAATCCTCTTATGACATTTAGTTGTACCTTATAACAAAACTTTTGAGGTAGAGGCACTAGAAAATAAAAGTACTAAGAAATACGGCTTTCCCCCAAAAGATACATCACATGTTCAAGATACAGACATAATAGACTTTCTGGTATAAGTTACAGCTAGTAAATTTTAATTTTCTAAAAGATTAACAGCCCAAAACTAAATTACATTAGTAAGATTTCTTAAGTATTTAAAACAACATACATATTTTTAAGATTTAATAACTCAGAATACCTAGAATAAAAAATTTATCCTACAATTAACAAAGA